GGGGGGGGAATGGATGAAGGAGTGGGTATGATAGGGTTTTTTTTATGAATAAACAGGGGAAGAGAAAAGGTATGGGGCCGTAATTGAGTGGCATCTCAGACAGTATAATGCTCTTTGCCCTCTCTCTTTATGGCTAAACAAGTAATGGTGAAAGGTTGGTTTATTATTTATTTAGTCACAAGTACTAGTATTTTTCATCTGTTATGATATATTTTTCACCTGTAATTAAGAATAAATTAAGAAATTTTAGACATGAAATAGCCATATATGTAGAGGTTAATGATATCATTCTGTAATTTATGGAATTGTATGTGAAATGACACAAATAAAAACTTATTCTGGAAAAAAAATCTATAGCCAGGCAAGTAACATTTTCAGGAGTGGTCAGCCAATACAGCTTTAATACTTGTGCATTACAGGTTCTCTAACGCTCCTTTTCAACATCTGTGCAGTGTTGCAGTTCATATTTCCCAGCTGGTGGGAGTAAAACTATGAAACGCAATGTGACCATCCTCTGCTGCTGGCAGGGCTAAGGTGGGGCAGATTCTTATTGACAACATATATATGGGCGCATGGATCTTGTCATCCATTCAGGGAGCCATGTTTAGATGTCCAGGGAGGCACAGGTGTTTCATTTAGCCCCCTGTTATGAATGAATGACAGGTTGCAACTGCAGGGATCTGCATGTGTTTACATACGGGGATGGATACATGGAGCAGAATGTACTGTAGTCTGTCTGCATCCGTCAATGTACACATGTCAAAATTGGCATGTGATTTGGGATTGCCAAACATGTGGGACAGTTTTTACCCTTATTTTATGTTTTTAAGTTAGGGACTGTGTTCTGTTTTTCAATCTGGCGGATGTAAATTCTGATTTAGTTTTCTCAGTTTTGGCTAAACCTTCTGTGCTGGCATAATTTTGAAGAAGAAAATTGCTTGTGACTGAGTGGTACATTTATACAGAAATATAATTATACAGAAATATGATGTTGGCAGGCAAGTGTGGTAGACACCTGCAAATGTATTCCTGATCAAGCTGTTAGTGCAGCATAAAAAATCTGAGAATATGGTTACGAAACAAATTGTGCAAAATACATTTAATAAAAAATTGAACTCTGAAAGCTATGGCCAAAAAATGGCAAGCAAAGGACTAGTCACCAGTACTTCTTGTAGTCCCTTTCAACTGACAGTTTCCCCATTGCTGGCTTACCATGCTTTGTTTTTCACTTTGCCTCTCTGTGGTTGTGACCATCTAGGTAGAGGAGCAGGGCTTTTCTCCCGTATGTCAGAGCCTGGATAACAATGGGCAGCACAGTAATGACACCACTAAATCTCATTTCAAATCTCCTGGGACTTGCAGTCAGAAGAAGCATTGCCTTAGATCTCACATTGCAAATATACAGCTATGAGGTTGTAGGCACAGTACCCTCACAGATTTGCACTTCTATTTTTCAGCAGGAATTTAAGGCAACGTGTACATAATTTCAGATCCCTGCTCGGTCACAAGTGACACTTGTAGATGTTCCCCATAACATACAAAATCTTCACTTTTTAAGATTAGTTCCACTGAAAATGTTGATTTAGTTTGTTAGTGTATATAATAATTTATATATTTTCTATTAGGCTATGGAAAGAGCTTATGCTACCAGTTTGCACCAGTTTACACTTCTGGTATTGGTATTGTCATCTGTCCCCTGATTTCACTCATGGAAGATCAAGTGATGCAGCTAGAGTAAGTTTTTCTCTTATATTCTATGTCTACGTTTGTTTAGTAGACTTTGTTGTTTTTTTGTGAGAATCTGGTTAATCATACTTTGTCAAAATGTATTGCAAACATACTTGTGTTGTTCAGTCACAGTGTCTGGAAGGTAACCACACATATTATCAATGTAGTATTATGAAGAATTTGCCTGAATGCTTTGCTTGGTCTGAAATACATAGTTTTTCTGTTCTGATCATGAGTTTACAGCAAGATGGTCTCTATAGAGAGGTTACCATCCAGTGTTTCAAGTTTGGAACACCCACCCGATACTGAATATCCAATTGTGGATGGAATGAGATTTTAGGCAACCCTTTCCATTGAGGTACCATAAACAAGTAACATCCAGTAATAGCTATAAAAGTGCGCCATGTATTTGCCAGTATGTTTTCAAACACCCAATGTTTCCTGTAATCAGAGTGCTTGGAGAAGCAAATACCACCTCAAATTGGTGTCTATCCTACCCCACTTCCACCGTTCACGTCTACCTTCTGATCTTTCGTCATTATTGGTAGGCTTGGTAACCAGCACTTAGTTGTGTAAAAGGGAAGAGGAACTCATTGGTAACTTTGGAAAACAAAGTTAGCATTTGCAAATGTGAGCAGCCTGTGTTTTTGGGATCCCAACGTACTCAAAAGATATTTACAGGTGTCTCCAGGCCATGTTCAATTTTGGTTCTGCACTTATTGAGGTATATTAGTTTTAAATCTTCCAAATATTTTGTTTTGTAGTTGCCTGATATAAAATATCCACATATTCTGAAATGTTTTCACTGTGATTAGTACACCTTTTTGTTCAGTTTTGGATAGAGAGTCATTGACCAAGATTGAGACCATCCCCATTGTGGAAACCTTTCTACATTTACATATCCTGTGTACTGCACTTGAAGTAATGCAAAATCTCCACAATAAGGTTAAAGATGGCAATAAAAATATTTCCCGACTAAATCCAAAACATAAAGGAAATATTTTTGGCAAAAGTTAATCCTAAAAGGTCAACATAGTCTTCTTATGCACATTTATTTTTTGTTCTTCTCTCTAATATTAGAATGTCAAACATTCCTTCTTGTTTTCTTGGATCTGCGCAATCTAAAAACGTCATGCAAGATGTAAGGGCGTGAGTACTTCAGTTTATTAATATTTTTGATGACTCTATTTGTTATGGGACAGCTAGACATTTCTTGTCTACAGTTTTTTACAATTTTAATACATGCTCGATTATATTACATTACATTACATTATATTAGTGTGTAGATAGATAGATAGACAGACAGAGAAATAGATATTTCTGGGGAGAAGAAAAGTTTGACCCTTGCAGTGGGTCCCCCTCCCCAATGTAAGGGTTAACTGCTCTTTTTGCCTTGGAGATAATTAAGGTGATATAGAATAAACAGTCAGTTAACCGTTGCAGTAGGCAGGGGGGCCCACTGCAAGGTTAAACCTTTTCTTTTGCCTTGAGTTCAGCTTTAACTGTAATTATACAGTATACCTATAAAAGGAATATGTGAAATCATTTTGTGAGAGTTTTAGATTGGTCTTTTTTCTGATTTTTCTTTTTTTTTTTAAATTCTTTTTCAGAGGCAAAATAAAAGTAATTTACATGACTCCTGAATTCTGTTCCAGTGGCATTACAATGCTTCAAGACCTAGACAACAAATATGGTATATTAAGATTTCTTTACTTTTTCTCTTTTTTTTGTTTAATGTGTGCTTGTTCCTGAGCTGGTTATTTTAGGTTGAATGGTATTTCATTACACACTGATATGCATTACTGGTCAGTCAGACAAATTAGCTTTCTTTTTTTTGTGTGTATTTTATAAGCAATGCATAAAGAACATAAAGTGGCACTGATGGACACACAGATACTCTTATATGATTACAGGAGTGAGAATGTTCTTTAAAGTAGAACTCCAGGCAGAATTTCTTTTTAACCCTTGCAATGGGGCTACCCACTGTCTTGGGACAAAAATAAAAAAGTTATACTCACCTGAACCTGGCTGTTAGACCGGTCCCTTTAGTCCGTATTCCTCCTCCTCCGCTCCAGCAACTAAATGTCCCTCGCCATCCTCATGTGCTGTACACTCTATAGGACTTGAGGACTCACAGGACCTTCAATTGCTGGAGTTGAGGGGGGGGGAGAAGTTGCAGGGCCAGTCTAACAGCCAGCCAGCTGTGAGGATCAGGAGGTTATAACCTTTTTATTCGGGATGCATGGATACCAGTTTCTCGGTATCGAGTACTGACATTTCTTTATCAATAATCGCCGATAGAATCCCGACTCCAGCATTCTGAGATAGCATGGGCCCAGCTTCCCAGCCAATCAGGAAGCTTGGCTTCACCCTCCCTCGCTATACTGCTGGGCAGCCTGGCTCCCTGACCAATTAGGAAGCCGGGCGGCAGATCATGACCTGCCACCCAGCTTCCTGATTGGTCAGGAAGCCAGGCTGCCCCGCAATGTCACTAAGCAATGTGAAGCCGACTACCCGGCCCATCAGGAAGTCGGGCGGGGGGTCATGACCCCCCGCCCGGCTTCCTGATTGGTCTGGATGACGGCTCCATGCTCCCTCCCGGAACCTCGTAAGTATCGGAGCATTTGGGCGGTAACGAGTAGTTGCCCAAATGCTCAGTATCGGTGCATCCCTACTTTTTATTTTTGACCCTGTAAGAAAACCAACACTTAACGCTTGAGATGCGGGGGTAGTCCCACTGCAAGGGTTCCGAAAAGTTCTGCCCAAAGAAAAAAAAGAATAAAAACAAAGTTGTAAAGTACACAATATTTTAAGAGAATGCTTAAGAGAAGTCCTGTTGTAAAAAAATCAAAGTCCATAGATGGGTGATTTTGCCTTAGTACAAAAGATCTCTAATAGTCAAATGCATATAAATTGGTCAAATGTGTCATCTTACTGGATCATGGAGCTGGCGATATAGATGGCGGGGAGAAAGTTGACTGATGGTCAGCTGATAAGAGGCAGAGTTGGGAGCTCATCATGGACTAAGAGTAAATAAAGAGGAGGCGGAATGGAATCCTAATTGTTCTCTTTAAAAATGTAAGTAAGTGTGAAGCAGATAATTTCTGTTCAAGCCCTCTGTGTCATTTTATGTCCTTTCACCCTGGCCAAGAAGGTCTACAATTCCTGTTGTTTTCTGTGCTTTATATCTTTGTTCTGATTCTCGGTATACCATACGCTGCAATAAGAACACTTTCTCAAATCTTACCTTTGTGATAGGTTATTGGTTTCTAACATTGCAATGTGGACTAAAAAAATACTCATCTCAATGCTCTCTTTTGGAAAATTTCCAGTTTATTAAATAAAAAAAAAAGGAATGGAAGAAAACAATGGTGGCTGATTTTGGACTTTGGGGAGTTGGGAGATAAAACTTGCAGATTGGCAAATCATGGACCATTGGGAAAATAGATAAAAGGGAACTATGGTTGGGTGACAGAGGAGAAGAATATTGAGGGTGTTGAAGTTAAAGCAGAAGCTTATTGTGGACAAGGTAGAGAAGAGGCAGTGTGAGAATGTGTTTTTTTTGTAAGGTGGGATTGGAGAGAGGAGTGGTGCATGAGTGAGTTCTACCGGAAGAGAATAGAGAGAGAACTGGTCCCAGATTGTAGAGAAAGAGTCAGAAAGGTAGCTAATTATTGGCAGAGGGCTTGGCAAAGGGTGGGGATGGTTTGAGCAACTGCACCTACTTGTATATTGACTTAGATCTGACCTGTGGGCTATGCTCTGAGCAATCACAGGAATTAGTATCATAATCCTCACTTATTTAAAAGTGATAATAAAGTCAAAAGGATATTAAGCTCTTTCAAATGCTGATTAAATAATTTTCAATGGATGCTGCTCCTTGATTTTTAAAAGTTTTAGTTTCCTGCAGAATCAGGTGGTCTCCTGAGCACTGGTCTTGACGTCTTGGTTTAGAGTGTTCCCTTTCTCAAGCAGAGTGCTATGCAGTCACCCTTGTGTGTGCTAGTAAGCGGTGTGTGTCTCGACAAACACACGGACACAGTAAATGAAGCTACTTCCCTCCTCCCTTGCCCCCTCTCCTCCCCTTCTACAAGCTAGTACATGAACACTTGTTCTGGACAGGAAGTTCAGGGAAGCTGAGCTTAGAGAGTTTGAAGCAGCTGTTCAGAAACATGATGATTGGTAAGTGTTTGGGCAAAAAAGTAAAGCAATGTTTTGCTGGGCAATGTATATTTTGAGAGTTGAGAATCTGATAATGGCTTACTAGATACTTGTAACATGTTCTGTCCTCCATTCAGGTTTGAATTCCACCTCATTAACTAGACAGTTATTGTTCACTGGATCACAGTGCTTTACAATATAAAAGTACAGTTACAATACAATACTGTATGGGGGGTGAGCTGAGTGGATTGTGGCTGCTGCCAGAGAAATGAGGGTGCCGAGTGAGGGGTAAAAGTTAATAGCAGATGGCCAGGGTTAGAGGAAATATCTCCAGAAGTAAGGCGGGTGAGGGATGTAAGATGTGAGCAAGATTTAAATGAGCGAACATGTCCCATGGTCTTAAAGTTTATATCAGAACGTGTGTTCACTATTTGCAGGAGGTGGTGAGTGCAGCAATAGGGAGACGGCAGGAGTGAGGGTGATGCATATATAAGCAGTGGGGTAAAGAAGTGTTTACCTGCTTGATACTTGTTCAGAAAAGATGCTTGTTATTGTTTTGCTAGTCTGTGTTCTTTTTTGTTTCCCCCTCCTTTTAGACGTCTGAGATAATTGTATGCTGTATTTTTTGTAGGTATAACTCTTATAGCAATTGATGAAGCACACTGCATTTCAGAATGGGGTCACGACTTTAGAAGTGCCTACCGGAAATTGGGCTCTCTTAAGAAAATGCTTCCTACGGTAAGAATTCCAGATGTTATCTGAAAGGGGATTTTTCCTTCATCTCCAGTAGATTATAAAAGTTGGAAACGCATAACAGTGGACATAAATAAGTACACATCTTGGTATAAATCCCACTCTCCTCTGCAATTTAAAGCTTTCTGATGCTGACGTGTTTGGGTCCTGGTTTTAGTATGGATTCGGCATACTGTCTTTACAGGCTTTGTACTTTCTGGCTTTGTTTGCATGGATTTCCACCAGGTACTCTTGAGTTTTGTCAGCAGTCCAAATCAAACTTGCCCCAGAGGGTCTATATATGTGTTATGTGGTTGTGACATTATACTCTGCTGGGGCAGGTTCTGTGCACTCTGTTAAGGCCTACATAAAATAGTGGCAGTAGGGAAAAAGATTGAAATAAAATAAAAATAAATAATGTCCTTAATGTTCTAAATTCAAGAATTAATTTGATTAAGGGATTTATGTTTTATGAATGTTAGGTCTGCTTGTACAGAACTCCTAAGGATTACTTTTTGTTTTAGCATAACTGCAGCTGAACAGCAATAACCAATTATATCTAAACCTTCACATATTACTTTGATCAGTTATTTAAGGGATTTCTACCCATCCTTGACATGTTTTTTTTTTTTTTTGTTTCAAAGTTTTTATTACATTTTTTAACAGTATATGTCATACAATATATAGTGGAAAATACTATATTGTACAAACAAAGTGGAGATGTAAAAAAGTGAATTCCATCAAGAATCGTAGCGCATCTATAGAGTTATCGTTGCACGTCTCCAAAAATTGGAGAGGAGCAAAATGCAAAGGTCTACAGAACAGATAGCCAAAGAGTACAAAAGCCAGTAAAGCGGGGAAGTGAAGAAAAGAGGAAAAGCACAGGGGCATTCCAAGCCATTATTTATGTTCAAAGATCTATAAGGCTGATAGGCTATCTGGCTATCTTACGTCGCCCATCTAGCGACGTAAGATTTTTTGGAAGGGGAGGTCAGTGTGTTCAAGTGAGAGTAAATTACTGAGCAAATTACTGAGCCTAATTTGGGACCGTAGGGATTACGTTTACACATGTGTTCGAACATGGTGAGATCTGCGGGAGGGAAGAAGTGGCCCAGTTTCGGAGCTGTAGATACCTAAAGTATTCAGAAGGTGGGGCTTGCATCTTATCTTTAAAGTACATGTAGTAGAAAACCAGCTGCACTCCTTACCGGAATAGTAGTGAACCTGCAAAGCAGGTGGGTGCTTGTAGTGACCACGGACGGCACCGTGAACAATGCAAATATAGTAAGGATTGTCACCAGCACACCAAAGAGTTTTGAAGCAAAAAGTCCTTTAATGACAAATTGCCATTCAGTACAAGCGCTTTTGGGGTCTCAACAGTACCCCTTCATCAGGCTCAGAATGACACAGTCAAACATACCATCACCATTAAATAGACATGCAAGTGAACATCAAAACAGACCACTTCAACTCAATTGCAGCTGAACACGAGCATTTCCCGCCATTCTATGTTTAAATTTAACTTACATGTGGCAGGCTTGTGGAGAAATAGCGCTTCCACTGTCCTGGCCGTTGGCTGCAAACAACATCAGCCCGTTGTCCAGGATACTGGACGCTAGGGCGCAAGGAGACCACACACCCGTCCACCAGCGCATGTGGAACGCAGGGTGGTTTATGGCTTGCGTCCCAGGCGGACATCATTCGTCGGCACTATGAGTACTCACGCAAGCGCAGTATACCACATATGTACTGCAGCCCATGGCCCCAGTGACAGCTAATGGAACGGCAGCGCCAATGAAAATAAAACATCTGACAACACATCATAGTATGCAGAAGACAACATAAGCTTTTTAGATCAACAGGAATATTGTATATTTGGCAATAAACAGCAGAGACCTATAAGGGTAGCTCAACTATTATGCTTAAAAGGCAGTGCCACATAAAAGCACATTCATTGCATTGAATCAATGTTGTGATCTCAGGCCAATAATATCAGCAGTATACAAATAATGATCGGCGTAAGTAATACTAATAAACAATCGCATATAGATAGAACCATTAAGTTGTGTTTAAACAGATACGAGGTACTGCCATGGGCAGCTCAGCGGCACCCTCATTTGCCAATCTTTTCGTCGGCTATTTGGAAGAAATGTTTGTATATAAATCTATGCATTTTCATGAGCATGTGTCTGATTGGATGAGGCATATCGATGACATCTTCTTGATATGGAGTGGTAGTGAACTTGAATTTAATGCATGTGTGTGTTTCTTGAATGGTTTATTCCCTGGGATTGTTTTAAATCCTACCATTTCTGCACTTGAAATTCCATTCCTTGATGTTTTGGTACGTATGGACAAGGGCAAGGTCAGCACATCGGTATATTCTAAACCTACCGATAGAAATACACTTCTACGGTATGACAGTGCCCACCCCCCCTCACCTTCAAAATATTCTTCCTGTATCACAGTTCCTTAGGATCCTGATATCACAGATCCTGATATCCGCACACAACAACTGAATGACATGTCCGATTGCTTCACAGAAAGGGGTTACCCCTAAATATCTTGCAAGCAGACAAGAGCATTACACAAGTTGCTAAAAACCGACCACTGCATGTTACTACCCGGCCCATCAGGAAGTCGGGCGGGGGGTCATGACCCCCCGCCCGGCTTCCTGATTGGTCTGGATGACGGCTCCATGCTCCCTCCCGGAACCTCGTAAGTATCGGAGCATTTGGGCGGTAACGAGTAGTTGCCCAAATGCTCAGTATCGGTGCATCCCTACTTTTTATTTTTGACCCTGTAAGAAAACCAACACTTAACGCTTGAGATGCGGGGGTAGTCCCACTGCAAGGGTTCCGAAAAGTTCTGCCCAAAGAAAAAAAAGAATAAAAACAAAGTTGTAAAGTACACAATATTTTAAGAGAATGCTTAAGAGAAGTCCTGTTGTAAAAAAATCAAAGTCCATAGATGGGTGATTTTGCCTTAGTACAAAAGATCTCTAATAGTCAAATGCATATAAATTGGTCAAATGTGTCATCTTACTGGATCATGGAGCTGGCGATATAGATGGCGGGGAGAAAGTTGACTGATGGTCAGCTGATAAGAGGCAGAGTTGGGAGCTCATCATGGACTAAGAGTAAATAAAGAGGAGGCGGAATGGAATCCTAATTGTTCTCTTTAAAAATGTAAGTAAGTGTGAAGCAGATAATTTCTGTTCAAGCCCTCTGTGTCATTTTATGTCCTTTCACCCTGGCCAAGAAGGTCTACAATTCCTGTTGTTTTCTGTGCTTTATATCTTTGTTCTGATTCTCGGTATACCATACGCTGCAATAAGAACACTTTCTCAAATCTTACCTTTGTGATAGGTTATTGGTTTCTAACATTGCAATGTGGACTAAAAAAATACTCATCTCAATGCTCTCTTTTGGAAAATTTCCAGTTTATTAAATAAAAAAAAAAGGAATGGAAGAAAACAATGGTGGCTGATTTTGGACTTTGGGGAGTTGGGAGATAAAACTTGCAGATTGGCAAATCATGGACCATTGGGAAAATAGATAAAAGGGAACTATGGTTGGGTGACAGAGGAGAAGAATATTGAGGGTGTTGAAGTTAAAGCAGAAGCTTATTGTGGACAAGGTAGAGAAGAGGCAGTGTGAGAATGTGTTTTTTTTGTAAGGTGGGATTGGAGAGAGGAGTGGTGCATGAGTGAGTTCTACCGGAAGAGAATAGAGAGAGAACTGGTCCCAGATTGTAGAGAAAGAGTCAGAAAGGTAGCTAATTATTGGCAGAGGGCTTGGCAAAGGGTGGGGATGGTTTGAGCAACTGCACCTACTTGTATATTGACTTAGATCTGACCTGTGGGCTATGCTCTGAGCAATCACAGGAATTAGTATCATAATCCTCACTTATTTAAAAGTGATAATAAAGTCAAAAGGATATTAAGCTCTTTCAAATGCTGATTAAATAATTTTCAATGGATGCTGCTCCTTGATTTTTAAAAGTTTTAGTTTCCTGCAGAATCAGGTGGTCTCCTGAGCACTGGTCTTGACGTCTTGGTTTAGAGTGTTCCCTTTCTCAAGCAGAGTGCTATGCAGTCACCCTTGTGTGTGCTAGTAAGCGGTGTGTGTCTCGACAAACACACGGACACAGTAAATGAAGCTACTTCCCTCCTCCCTTGCCCCCTCTCCTCCCCTTCTACAAGCTAGTACATGAACACTTGTTCTGGACAGGAAGTTCAGGGAAGCTGAGCTTAGAGAGTTTGAAGCAGCTGTTCAGAAACATGATGATTGGTAAGTGTTTGGGCAAAAAAGTAAAGCAATGTTTTGCTGGGCAATGTATATTTTGAGAGTTGAGAATCTGATAATGGCTTACTAGATACTTGTAACATGTTCTGTCCTCCATTCAGGTTTGAATTCCACCTCATTAACTAGACAGTTATTGTTCACTGGATCACAGTGCTTTACAATATAAAAGTACAGTTACAATACAATACTGTATGGGGGGTGAGCTGAGTGGATTGTGGCTGCTGCCAGAGAAATGAGGGTGCCGAGTGAGGGGTAAAAGTTAATAGCAGATGGCCAGGGTTAGAGGAAATATCTCCAGAAGTAAGGCGGGTGAGGGATGTAAGATGTGAGCAAGATTTAAATGAGCGAACATGTCCCATGGTCTTAAAGTTTATATCAGAACGTGTGTTCACTATTTGCAGGAGGTGGTGAGTGCAGCAATAGGGAGACGGCAGGAGTGAGGGTGATGCATATATAAGCAGTGGGGTAAAGAAGTGTTTACCTGCTTGATACTTGTTCAGAAAAGATGCTTGTTATTGTTTTGCTAGTCTGTGTTCTTTTTTGTTTCCCCCTCCTTTTAGACGTCTGAGATAATTGTATGCTGTATTTTTTGTAGGTATAACTCTTATAGCAATTGATGAAGCACACTGCATTTCAGAATGGGGTCACGACTTTAGAAGTGCCTACCGGAAATTGGGCTCTCTTAAGAAAATGCTTCCT